ATGCAAGGCAAACGCCCTACCTGCGGTGCTATCGCTCCAGCCCTCCCATATGGACACTTAAACTAAACAAGAAATGAGCATGAAACGGACATACAAGCTCTCTCACCTCCCTCGGCCTCCTTGTGTCTTCCCGTGAATGTGTACAAGAGAGACTTCCCCTTTCTTCCCGCTCTGTGCTGCCAGGCTACGAGCAATGGAGCACCCCATGCCTTCCGGGGATCTCTGTCCTCAGCGAGCGCCGCACAGGGAATGCTGGAGGGCTCTTGCCGCACAGCTGCTGAGAAGGCCGTGCTGAGGGAGGGGCTGCTGGTGCTGGTGCTGATGGTGCTGGTGCTGGTGGAGGTGCTGGTGGTGGTACTGCTGGTGGTGATGCCATTGGAGGTGATGTTTGTTGGTGATGGTGCTGATGGTTGTGTTGGTGGTAGGGTGTTGATGGTGAAGATTGCGGTGACAGCATTGATCTATGTGGGTCAGGGGTGAGCCTTAGTGACAGGAGCATCACTTAATCACTTAACTTCCCGTTATTCGTCGATTTGCTCGAGCGGGCGCCAGTAACGTCTCCATTTGTCCCTGTCACGTGCTAGTGTAGCCCAATGGCATCTAGGATAGGAGCATAAGCCCCGCAAACTGAGATTCTGGGGTTAGTTCCAGAAACCAAACCCCATCAATCAAATACGTACGTCCTATATTATGAGCATGATAATGAAGATCTACATATTGGAAGCGCTGGTTAAGCTCTCCTGGCGGTAAGATCATCCTAGATGGCCATAAGAGGGTTTGCGGGTAAGGGTCCCCCTCAGCAGGGCTTAAGTCAGTTGCCTGGAACATAGCCAGGCTTGCTGGCCCTGGCTGGGGGTGGCGGCTCATGCAGGACCCAGAGCAGTCCCCGAGCTCTGCCCATTGTGCCCCAAAACCAAAATTCAAGATAAAATAGATGCTTGCTGTGAAGCTCAGACGTGAGACATTGTAGAGTCAATAAAGATTTTTTTTAAACAAAGAAGACAGGGGGTTGTTTTGTTTTTCAGGCATTTCTAAACATCCCACATTTCTTGCAGGACAAACAACTCCTGGGTGCCGAGGTTGGAGAGAGAGTGGTAGTGGGGGGGAGGACGCTGGCCTTGTGTGCGCTGACCTGGGCTGGATCTGCCCCACATGGTCCCCTGAACTTGCCAGGCATGACAGCAGGGCGCAGGCCAGGAGTCAGCCCTTAGCACACCGGGGGTGGGCCCCCCAAAACGTAAAATGTGTGGGTGTCAGCACAGAGCAGAGAAAGGCAACAGGGTGTCCTGAGGGAGGAGGGCCTCGGGCCTCCGGACAGCCCGTAAATTGCACGTCAATGTGGATGGATGAGAAGGGGCCCAGCCAGGAGCTGCTGGGCCCCCGACCACCTACACAGAGTCTTAGAGGACATGGCCCGTCCCAGCCCAGCACCTGGGCGGAGTTGGGGGGAGACAGACGGCCGCCTCCCTGAGCCCCCAGGAGGGGTCCCAGGACCATCCTCTCCTTTGCTCCACGTCCTCCTTATTGGGGTGCTGGGCTGCCTCTGGCTCCAGGACCCCTCCCCGGGGAGGCCACGTCTTCCAGGGAGATGGTGTTTGTGTGGCCCGCACTGCGTGATGTGTGTGTGTGTGACGGCCACAGAGCCCGTCCTCCCCGCTCCCTGGCAGGAGGTCGCCTAAGAAGCCAGGAGCCTCGGAACACGCAGCCGCGGCCTCTCTGGCCCTGCGAGCCCAGACGTGGGTTACGGGTGCTGCTCCCAGCTGGGCCCCGCAGTGCCGACTCCAAGTCCAGAAATGTGGGAAAGTTTATTTCCCTAAAACATTCCTGATTTGTAATGTGCTTTCTAAAAATGTCCTTGCTGACCAAAGCCCTGCTATATTTAGCCACGGCATCTGAAAGAAATGTCCCTGGCGCTTTACAAGGCGGGCTCTGAAGTGCAGGGGTGCGGGATGTGTCCCCCCGAGACGCCAGGGGGCCGGGGGCAGGGAAGCAGGGCAGCGGCAGAGGGCAGGACTGACCCCCGTCCCCAGCCCCGGGCTCTCGAGGGCCAGGGGCAGCCTCTCCTAAGCCCGCCGCCGCCTGGACAGAGTGACTAAGCTGCAGGACGGTCGTCCGGTGGGGGTGGCCATCACTGCGGCCAGAGGTCAGCGGCTGACGCTGGCTCTGCTTCTGTTTCACGTCTGAGTGGGGTTTGTCCAAGAGAGGGAGCACCTCCTGGGGAGCACCATCCCCACCCCCAGAGCTGGGTCACGGGAGCAGATGGCCGGTGGCTGTGGCAGGGCGGATGCACAGCGGAGCCCACAAGTGTCCATCAGGGGCCGCGCTCGGAGAGGCTGGACAGCCCGGGGGGCCCAGGAAACCCTGCCCCCAGGGGAGACTGGAGCAGACCCGCCAGGCCTGGCTCAGGAGCGAGGCCAGAGGGCTTCACCCCCCCAGGGCCCGCGCCCCCTCCCCTCGCCCGCCCACCGCCCTCCTGGCCCCCCCCACAGCCCCTGGGGCTGCCTGTCCACCTCTCCAGGGGCCACCCAGTGCTGCCCCTAGCCCAGCCGCCCTCGCAGCTGCGCCCCGGGCCACACTGCAGGTCACCCCTCCTGCCGTCCGCCTCAGGGAGGGTCCCAGCCTGCCAGCAGCCAGGACAAGGCAGGGCCTAGGGAAGGATGCCAGATGGCACCCACTCCAGGCTCACGCAGCCTGAGACCCACCCAGACGTCCTATCTGAGGGCACAGTGGGCAGTGGGCGGCCCCCACCACTTCTCTCGGGCTGCCTGACCTAAGGTCCCCTGACAGGACACTGGCCGGGAGGGTGAGCTCCCGTGGCAACCCCACAAGCCTCAAGCAGTGAGAGGCACAGACGTTGCCCCGGGCACGCTGCACCCACCTCAGGGCCGGGGAGCCCAGGGGGTGGACAATAGGGCCCGCAGAGTGGACGCTGGCCTCTGCCTCCAGCTGGAGCAGCTTGGAGCCCCGCGACCTCCCCAGAGCGACAGGCCACTCCTTCACCAGAGGCGCCGGGACCCCAGGCAGAGCCAAGTTCTCGCCTGGTGACTGTCACAGAGAAAATGCCCCAGTGCCCCCGGGCAGACGCCCCACCCCTCAGTCCCTGAGTCTCTGCCAGACTGTCACTTGCACTGCAATGGCTCCCAGACCCCCCTCACTGAGCCTGCCACCCCACCCCGAGAAGCAGGAAAGGTGCATCTGAGTACCTGCCAGATAGGAATGTGTGTGAATCCACACACACATGATGTACAGGGCCCGCATACTCCTCAGTGTGTGTGTGTGTGCGTGTCTGTGAGCATGTGTGTGCCGAGTATGAGAGCATGTGTGAGTGAATGCGTGTGTGCCATGCGTGAATGTGAGTACACATATGAATGTGTGAACACACTGAGAATGAGTATTGTGTGCGCATGTCAGTGTGTGTGTGTGGTGTGTGCATGTGTGTGTGAGCATGTGTGTGTGATCGTGTGTGTGATCACGTGTGTTGGTGCGTGTGTGTCCATGTGTGTGAGAAATCAGACAGGACCAGCAGTCATTTGCAGGCAGCCTGTGAGCGTGGGGCCGTGGGGTGACCCCACTTTCTGATCTCGGGAGAAGCACTAGCCTTGGGCTCTTCTGCACTCTGGTGACCCCCTCGAAGCCCCAGCTGCTAAGGGCGTCCCACCGTCCCGCCTCCTCCTTTCCGCCATGGTTCGCTCATGCCCCCCCCACCGTCAGCCATGAGCCAGCCACTGAGAGGCAATGAGACTTTATTCACAGAGGCTGAACGTTTAGGGCTGGGGACCCCGCGTCCCCCACGCAATACAGCAAAGGAACCCCTTAAAGCAGGTCAGCCTGCGCCCCGCGCTCCCCGGCGGGACAGACCGTGACCGTGGATACGTGCAAGTGTGCGGCTCTAAAAATGAAATCTAAGCATCAGGTGTGCAGGAAGCCCCCTCCCCAAAGCTCTCCCCTGGCTTAAGGCTGGGATGAGACCCTCCCTCAGAGGCCCCCACACCTGCCCACAGCGCCCTGCTGAGCAGGACCAGAGTGAGACTGGACACCCCAGGGGCAGATGTCACAGAGGTGAGGTGCGTCTGCCTCGGGGCAGGGGGTCCCGTCTCCCGAGCCTGGAGTGAAGACCACCAGCCCCTCGCAGAGGGTCGTCTGCTGGCCAGGGCCCAGGGCTGGGAGGCAGGGGAGAGTAAACGGCCTGTTTCCCGTCCCGGCTGCTCCCCTTCGCTAGGCACCAAGGCTCCTCCAGGGTGAGTGGCCACACCCTGCAGCTTGGGACCACTCCCCACGGTGCTCAGGGTCCAACCTGGGTGAGTCTCATGCAAGACAAGCATCCCCCCTGCACCCCAGCTCCCCCCCCAGCCCCCAGACAGCTCCCCCCAGTTGCCCCCTCCCCCCCGCCCCGCCCCATGCCACGTCTCTCTGAATGCTGCCCTGGTTCCCGTCCCGGGAAAGGCCAGCACCCTCTAGCCGCGCTCTGGGAAAAAGGTGGGAACTGAAGCTCTTCCTCGCTGAGACCTTCCTGTGTGTCCGGTGCTCCCGGAACCTCTGGTTCCTTGGAAACTAGAGCAGACTTCCTGGGATGAGAGTGATGGAGCCAGGCGGCCCCTCGAGGGCCAGAGCCCAGCCAGGTTGCGCGTCCGGCGCAGAAAGGGCAAGAACCCACGCAGCCGCTTGCCCTGAAAGCGGTTCCTCGGCTTCCGCGGGCAAATCCTCGCCGGATCTCCAAAGGCCCCGGAAAGGTCCCCGCAGCTGCCCCTCCGCCACAAACCAGCCGCGCAGAAAGGCCTGGACGCGGCGGGGCGCAGGGCGCTGGGCAGGGCAGACGTGGCCGTGGCGTGGCGAGGATGGGGAGGCGCCTCCGGAGAGCGAGTCCGCGGCGCTGGGCTGCCAGGATCTCCGCCGTCCGTCCCGACGACCCTAGGGGCGCGGGGGTCCCCGCGAGGGCCACACCCACAGGGAAGGTCGCACCGCCCGGCTCCTTCGGCGGACGCCCCCCGGGCAGCGCCGGGCGCGCTCTACTGGAGGTGGAACAGGGCGTCGGGGAGCGGCAGCGGGAGGCAGGAGAGGAAGGGGATGCCCAGCTGGCAGAAGCCGCCCTGCACGTGCGGGTCGAACATCAGCGACGCGTTGAAAGGCGGCCGCAGGCCGGACGCGGTGGCCAGCAGCGAGGCGCCCAGGCAGCCGCCGCTGGGCCCCGGCTTGGCGGGCCCCGGGAGCGGGCCCCCCGCCGCGGGCGCCCGGCCCCGCGGGCCCGCCAGGATGCTGTCGATGCTGAAGCTGGGGGCCCGGCCCGCGCCCGGCGGGGAGCCGCCGCGCGCGGGGCGCGCCGGGGAGCCCGGGCGCGCGGCGCGGCCCTCGCCCTCGGGCCCGGGCGGCGGCGCGGGGAGCCCGGGGGCCGCGCGCCCCGCGCCCCCCGCCGCCGCGGGCGCCCCGACGGGCGTGGGCGCGGCGCGCGCGCGCTTGGCGTCGGGCGCGCCGGGGGCCGCCCTGGGCTTCCGCTTGCGCCGCCGGTAGTTGCCGTTCTCGAACATGTCCAGGCAGCGCGGGTCGAGCGTCCAGTAGCTGCCCTTGCCCGGCCGGCCCTTCTCGCGCGGCACCTTGACGAAGCACTCGTTGAGCGACAGGTTGTGGCGGATGCTGTTCTGCCAGCCCTGCCGGTTGTCGTGGTAGAAGGGGAAGCGCTCCATGATGAAGCGGTAGATGCCGCTGAGCGTCAGGCGCCGCTCGGGCGCGTCCTGGATGGCCATGGCGATGAGCGCGATGTAGCTGTAGGGCGGCTTCTGCGGCGGCTCGGCCCGCGCCAGCCCCGCGCCCTCGGCGCCGCACAGGTACAGCACGGGCGCGGCCAGCGCGGGCAGCCGCGGCGCGAGGAGGTGGCTCATGGCGAGCGGCCGTCCGCGCCCGCCGGCATCGCGGCCAGTGGCCAGGGCGGGCGCGCGGCGGGCGCTCTTATGTCGCCGGCGGAGACGGTCGCGCGCGGTCAACAGCCGCCGCGCCGGCCCACCCACGGCAACCCGAGTTCCGCTGCCGAGAACCCCGAGCTCGCCTCCACGCGTCCCCGCGGCCCCGGCCAATCGGCGTGGGGCTCTCCCCTCATTTGTTTACAGAATTAGTCTGTTGATAAGTCCGCCCACCCAAGTCGAATCAAGCTGTGTTTATTTGGAAAAATTTCCGGGCACCCAATATATAAACGCGCCGATCTGATGTTTGAAATACCACGTCCACCCTTGACGCTGTCCGCTCAGGCAGAGGCAGGAAGTGGACCCCGGCGGCTCCCCGAGCGTTGGGGACCGCGCGGGGGTCTGGGGGACCCCTGCCCCGGCCGCCACTCCGCCTTCGGAGAGGTCCTTGCACCCGCCTCCCAGACGCCTTCCGGGGCCGTGGAGACTCCCGCGCGGGGGTGGGCACTGAAGACACTGGGGGTCCGGGCACGCGGGAGTCTCGGGGACGGAATCCCCAAGAGGGGCTCCGCCTGGGGGACCCCCGGGGGGGAGGGAGGGCACCGGGCAGCTGCGAGCCGAGCCTGAGCGCTCTTGGGGTTCACAGCGGGGCAGGGGGAGTTTTGAAGGGCAGCGGATTTGGAGGACCCACGGATCTGGGCCCAGGGGAGCCCGGGCTGGGGGTGCACGCGAGGAGCAGTCGCACCATAAAAGGGGGGTTCGGCAGCTGTGGCGGGGAGCTGGTATTTGGGGACGCGGGGCCCTTGCTTTATATCCTGCGCTTTCCTGTTTATAACAAGGAGGGGTTATAACAACTTTACAAGTGCACGCAGCTGCCCAGGATTACACTGAACATTTGGGAAGCCGGCCCCCTCGCCCCGGGGTGCACGCCAGCACCCCCTAGTCTCATCTGACAGTCAACCAAATTAGGGTCTGAGCCAAAGCCCTGGGCGACGCCCCGTTCAAGAGGGTGCCTGCCCGGTCCCTCAGCGGGCACCCACGGGGCGGGCTGGGGCGTCCAGGGCCGGTCACCGAGCCGGGAGGGGACCCGCAGGCGCGCGGGGTTCCCCAGGGCCGCACACCCGAGGGGCCCCGCGCCCCGCCCCGCCCTGGGCGCCGGTGGCCAGGGAAGAGCCGAGACCCCGCGGAGGGTCGCTCCGGCGCGGGGGTCCCCAGAAGACGGCGGGGGCGCCCGGCAGGTCGGACCCGCGCGGGGCGCGCTCTGCCCGGCGCCTTCCCGGACCCGCTCGGGAGCCCGCGCGCCCGCCCGCCCGACCCGGCCGGCCGCGCCCCCGCGCCGGGCACTCGCCGCCGGCTCGCGGGGGCGTCCGCAGCAGAGCCTGGGGCGCGGGCCGGGACCCCGCGGCTTCCGGGGCGCTCGGCGGCCGGCGGCGGCGCGCCTCGGCGCCCCCGTGCGGAGGCTCGTCGGGCGGGACGGGTCGGCGCGAGCGAGCGCCCCGCGGGCAGGTGCGGCCGGCCGGCACCCCGCAGCGGCCCCACCCACGGGCCACGGGAGCCTCCCGCCCCCCACAGGTGGTTTCACATGCAGTCATTACATGAAGCAGAAAGGCAGGACCGCGCTCCGTGTGTGTGTGCGCGCGCGCGCGTCTTTGAGTGTAGGTGTGGGACCGAGGTGTGAGTGTCAATGCATGTGTCACTGAGAGTGTGTGTATGTGTGGGGCTGGGAGCATGTGCGGGTGGGTGTGGGCATGTGCGGGTGGGTGCATTGTAAGTGAATGTGTCTAATGTGTATGTGTGTAAGTGTGTGTCTGTGTATTGTGTAAGGGGTATGTGTGGGGTGTATATGTATACAAGTGTATGTGTGAGAGTGTATGTTATTTTATTTATTTGCTTTTTGGGTCACACCCGGCGATGCTCAGGGGTTACTCCTGGCTCTGCACTCAGGAATGACTCCTGGCGGTGCCCGGGGGACCCTAGGGGATGCTGGGAATCGAACCCGGGTCGGCCGCGTGCAAGGCCAACGCCCTCCCCGCTGTGCCATCTCTCCAGTCCCGAGAGTGTATGTTAGTGTGAGGGTGTGTATTTATGTAGGAGGGTGTGAGTGTATGGGCATACATGTGTGGTGTATGTGTGTACTGTGGGTATACGTGGGAATATGTGCGTGTGTATTAGTGTGTGTGTGGCTGTTACCGTCTGTGTGAGTGTGTATGCGTGTGTATGTGTGCAAGTGTGTGAGTATGTTGTGTGGCTGTGTTAGTCTGAGCGTATGTACGAGTGTGTATCTGCATCTGGGTGATTGTGGGTGTCTGTGTGCATGACTGTGTGTTAGTGTGTGTATGGGGGAGCAGTGCCGGGGAGCGGGGGTTCGAGTAAGGCAGGGCGGGAGCAGGTCTGTCAAGGGTTGAGGGGACTGTGGAACAGGGTGGTGCCAGAGCCGGGCTCTGGGCTCTGCCTGGTGACACCATCAAAGCTGCTTGGGACCCAGGGTCGACTCTCTGCGGCCTGAGCAGGGGACAGTCCCACGAAGGGCACGAACTCTGGACACGGGTGGCTGCTGTGCCCCTTTCACAGATGAGAACACTGAGGCTGGGCCTAGAACTCGCCCAAGAAAAGGAGCTAGTGCCTAGATGGGGAAACTGAGTCCGGGCTAGGCAGGAGGGTCAACTGGTCTGACAGAGGGAGGGTCTGGAGTGAGGGGTGCAGGGCTGGAAGGTAAGGGGCTCTGAGGGTCCCAGAGAGACCCCACCACACCCAGCGCCCCTCCCACGTCCTTTGGGCCGGTGGTGGGAAGTGCTGGGCGGTGGCAGGGCCCGAACAGCGCTGGCGGGCAGCGGGGGGGGGGGGGGGGGGGGGGGGGGGCGGCTGCGTGGGCGGCGGGGGCCCTCGCGGGGGCTGCGTGGGCGGCGGGGAGCCCCAGCCCCGGAGCCGCCGCTGGCCCTGGCTGCTGGACGCCGCCCGCCAGGAGCCCGGGGCAGGGCCCTTCCCGCCCGCCTGCGAGGTGGGGGCCGGCTGTGAAAATAACGGAGCGGCCGGCGCCGCGGGGGCTGCTGGGAAGGGGAGGGCCGAGCACCGCGCTGAGGGGTCAGAGGAGCCTCTCTGGGCTCCGTGACGTCTGCGGGGTGGACAGTGGGCGCAGCCGCCCGCCCGCTCCCTAGCCCTCCCGCCGTGCCCTCCTGCCCCTGGCTGCTCTGCCAGGGGGACCGGGAGCCCCTCCGTTGGCCCTCAGGTGCCCCCAGCACCCCCACAGCGGGGCCTCCCCGTGACCCCTGCCCAGCTGCGCCCCACTCCCTGAGACCCCTGGCAAACATCTCCAGCGCCAGGTGAGAGGACACCGGGACAGAAGGGCCACGTCCTCCCTTCAGCCCGGCCCCAGCGGCCGACACAGCTCTGCAGGTCACCCCAGGAGGCCCAGGCCCCCCAACCGTCCCCCCGCCCTCTCCCACCTCAGCCCTGGCTTGTGAGCGGGGCCGCTCAGGCTGGGGGGGACACGCTCTCTGGCCTCGCACACACACAAGCGTTTCCCAGACCCAGAGTGACCCGTGGCAGTCTCGGGGTGAGGGGAGGACACGGGCCCCGAAAGATTTATGGGTCAAGAGCCCACGTTCCCAGGACCCCTCGTCTTCTCTCGGGCTGAATTTCCTGCTGGCGGTGGCAGGGGAGTGTGTGCCTGGTTGTACGGGTACACGCGTGCGTGTGTGCCTGCGTGCGGCTCCGACGGTGCCCAGGAGGGGGTTGGCCCGCCTGCCTGGACGGACCCAGTATTCGCCATTCAGAGATGCACATGGTCAGGAGCGACCGGGTAGCGGCTGGCCACACTGCAGGGCTGGTCAGCCCCGGGGCGGGGGGTCGGGGGGGGGGGGAGGGTGGCACACAGCTGGGGAAGGCGTGTGCCCACCAGGCTGGCCTTCCAGCGAGGCTTGCTGGAACCCTGGTGAGGCTGGCCCCGGGACAGAGGCCTGGATCAGCAAGGCACGTCCTGCTCAAGCCCGGACACCAGGAGGCCAGGCCAGCCGTCCTGGAGGGTTGTCCTTCATTTCGGCTCATGCTGCAGCAAGGCTGAATGTGTGGGAGTGGGAGTGGGGGGCCCAGGGGGGGCAGGGGCACTGGGCACCCTCCTGGCATGCTGGCCTGGTGGGCATCCTGGTACCTCTTCTCGCCCTGGAAGCCCAGAAGGGGAAGGGGCGGACAGTGGGCAAAGACCCCTGCACTCAGACTCACCGTGGGGGAAGGGGGGCCTGGGGTCACCCCACTGGGAGCGTGGGGCACCCGCAGCAGAGGCCCAGGGCTGGCTCTGAGCTGCAGGGACCCCTGCCCCAGGGGCTCGGAGGGAGCAGAGGGTGTGGGTGCCTGCCCGGCTCTTCCAGAGCCTGGACCGGACCTAGGTACCGTCCCCGCCATGAGCAAGGAGACGCCTAGCTCTAGACTCCCCTGGGGTGGGGTGGCCGTTCTTCTGGGGGTGACAGTGTGGACTCTGAGAAGTGACCTCCAGGCCAGAGGCCCTGCTGTTCCCTGGGAACAGCAGGGGGTCCTTCTGGGTCTTGCCTGCATCCAGACCCTCTGAGGGGCAGCTTGCAGCGGCATCTGGGGAGGCGAGAAGGGCAGAGGCGCCTCCCGGGCCAGGAGCCTCGAAGGAAATGGAAACCGCAGCTGCAGGCGCTGTTGCCAGGGGGCTCCCTGCGCCCCCCACCACCAGGGTCCAGGCTGCGGAAAGCCAGCCCCAGAGTGACACGGTGACACAGTGCCCGGAGGGGCCCAGGATATGGGGCTCTGGGACACATTCTGGGGAGACCAGCCTCAACCCTCGGAGCCCCTGTGCCAGTATGACATGTGGAGAGGGTGCAAGTGTGTGTGTGTGTGTGTGTGTGTGTGTGTGTGTGTGTCTCGTGGGGGGTTACCTGCCTCTCTCAAGCAAGACGGCCTTTGGGGGAAATGAGCAGCCTTGGAGATGTCCAGCCCAGCTCCGGCCAGACACCCCAGGGTCCTTGCATAGCACAGCCCGTGGGAAAGTTTTGGGCCCCACAATTCACACACACAGCACAGCGGGAGTGCGGGGGGATGATGAAGGGCCCCTGACACCTTTTACAAAGGTCGTGAAAAAGGCGAAGTAAGATGGCAACATTGGGAACAGATTCTCTTTTTGTTTTCAGTCTAAGTCGTAAGTGTAAAACAGGGAAAGCTTTGCAGATTTTTATTTCAGTTTTGGGGTCACTCCCTGCAGTAACCCCTCAGGGGCTACTCCTGGCTCTGCACTCAGAAATCACTCCCGGTGGTGCTCAGGGGACCGTGTGGGATGCCGCCGGGGATGGAACCCGGGTCAGCCATGTGCAAGGCAAACACTCGACCCGCTCTGGCCAAATGCAAGGAATTCTCGGAAGGTGCCGGTGGGTTAATATTTTCACTGCAATGGGGAAATCGAGGTAGAAATCGATAAGGAGTCTGAACCGCTCTGCCGGGCCTTGCTCTGGAGAGCGGCTCTGTGCTCCCACCAGCCCAGGCCTAGCCGGAGCCAAGGGCAGGAAGCCCGCATTTTCGGAAATGCAGGAGGGCCGATCCCAGCGGGGCGCTGCACCCTCGGCTCTGCGGCTCTGCCCGGTCAGATGGGCTGACAGCAAGGAAACCCACCCTGTTCGCACCCTTGGCAGGTTTGTCTGGGTTTAACAAAACGCATGAAAGCAAACCGACACTCCGAGCAGCCCCTCCGGCCGGCTGGTGCAGTTCACTGCAGCAGAGAGGGAGCGAGCCAAGGCCCGGGCTCTGCAGACAGAGGGGACTCTGCGCGCCCACCTGGGTCAGGACAATGATCGCAACAGGTGACTCTGCGGACACGCCTTGTTTTTCAGAAGTGCAAGGAAATACACAGCTCGCGGGTGTTTAGGCGGAAAAACAATGCGGTTTATTTGCAGGTGAGTATACTGACCACCCCAGGAGGCGAACAGGCCAGGTTAAAAGTTTCGGTTCTTTCCTTTCTCTGGGAACACACAAGAGCGGCACGCTTTGGAAACCAAAGTAGCAGCTAGGTGACTTCTTTATCCCCCAGCAACAACACCGCAAATAAATTATTTCCTCGTTCGAACTGACCTGCCGCGGGGGAGGCTCTCTCAAGGAGGGGAGGGGGGCCCCGACGCCGTGGGCGCCTCGGGTTTTCCGTCCGGCGGGAGAAACGGCCGGGCGAGATGGGCGCGATCCAGTGCACTCAACTTTAAATATTATATTAAGGGCTCTGCGCAGGACGGCCTCGGCGCGGGCCGCTTCGCGGGGAGGCCGGGTCAGTACTTGGGGCCGTCGTAGGAGTAGGGCGCGGCGGGGCGGTAGAGCGCGGGCGCGGCGCGGTAAGGCAGCTGGCACCCGGCGCCGCCCGCGGGCTCCGCCAGGCTCGGGGCGTCCACGCCGAGCCGGTGGGCGCCGAACATCTCCCGCACGCCGGGGAACGTCTGCCGCTGCGCGCCGAACGCGTGGCCGGGCAGCGCGGCCAGCTCGGGCCCGGGCTCGAGGTACCAGGAGGCCGCGGGCGCGGGCGGCGGCGGGCCGGGCGCGGGCGGCGGCGGCGGCGCGGGCGCGGCGCGGCGGCCGTGGGGCGCGGCGTCCTGGCCCGCCGCGAGGCCCAGCGCGCTCAGCGGCGACGCGGGGCCGCCGGCGGGGTCCGCGGGCGCGTCGTCGAGCGCGGCGGGCGCCAGGCACATGTGCGCGGGCCGCTCGGCGCCCGCGTAGAGGCTGAGCGCGCGCACGCTGCACTGGTAGGCGGCGGGCTCGGGGCCCTGCGCGCACGGCGGCCCGTAGGCGGGCGGCGCGGCGGCGTAGGGCAGCGCCAGCGGCGACGCGCGCGCCGGCACCAGGTGGTCCGCGCCGAAGGCCGGCGGCCGCTCGGCGGGCGAGGCGGCGGGCGTGGACGCGGCGCTGCGCGCGCCGTCGGGGCTCAGCGCCTCGGCCTGGGCGGCGACGGGCGGCGCGGGCGACGCCGCCTCGCTCTTGACCGCCGCCGGCTCGCCGGCCTCCGGGGGCGCGTCGGCCGGCGGCTCCCGCGCGCGCGCGCGCTCCGGCTTCTCCCGGGGCACGTCCTTCTTCTTGAAGCGGCGCCGGCGCCGCAGGAAGCTGCCGTTCTCGAACATGTTGTAGGAGTCCGGGTCGAGCGTCCAGAAGCTGCCCTTGCCGGGCTTCTTGTCGTCGCGCGGCACCTTGACGAAGCACTCGTTGAGCGACAGGTTGTGGCGGATGCTGTTCTGCCAGCCCTGCTTGTTGTCGCGGTAGAAGGGGAAGCGCTCCATGATGAACTGGTAGATGCCGTTCAGCGTGACCTTCTTGTCGGGCGCGCTCTGGATGGCCATGGTGATGAGCGCGATGTAGCTGTAGGGCGGCTTCACCAGGTCCTTGGGCGCGGCGGGCGGGTGCGCGTGGAAGGGCGCGTAGGGGCGGCCCGCGCCGTACCCATCGGGGTACGCGCCCACCGGGCCGCCCACGCCGCCGTAGCCGCCCGCCGCGCGGTAGTAGCCCTGCTCGCCCAGGTAGGGCACCACGCCCAGCGCGCTGGGGTCGGGCACGGAGTAGCGCGCCTGCATGCTGCGGCCGGGCGGCGGGCGCGGGCGCGAGGACCGGGCGCCGCCGCTCAGCGCCCCGGGCGCATCGGCATCCCGAGGGCGCGCCCCGGGCGAGCGCGGCGCCGGCCCGTCCGTCCGCCCGTCCGCCCGTCGGTCCGTCCGCCCGGGGCCCCGCGGCCGGCGCCAGGCGGGTCAGCGAGCCGGGGTCCGGCGCTGGCCCGGCCGAGCCCGGAAAAAGAGGCCAAGGCCCTTTTAGGGATTGGGAGAAGTTTCCCGAGTCCTCGCCGGGGCGAGTTTTTAGTTTCCTGCCGCCCCGCCCCCTCCGGGAGCCTCGCGCCAATCCGCGCGCAGCTGCGGGGACGCGGCGCCAATCGCGGCCAGGAGCGCCGGAATCCGGCGGCTCTAAGACCCAGCCCGGCGGCCCCGAACCCACCCGTCGGCGGCCCGCGGTCCTAACTAGAAAAGGTCGGGGGCGTGGGGGGGCAGCCCTGGAAATTTTATTTTAGCGTCCCGGTTTGGAGACCGGGCCCAGGCGCTCCGGGAGCAGTCAAGACGCGTCTTCGCAGATGCAAAGCCAGGTTGCGGCGTCCGTGGGACGCCGGGGGAGCCACCCCCCCCCCCCGACCGCGCCCAGGACCCCCTGGGCAGGGACACCCGGGCCGCCGGCCTTAGGGGTGATGAGGTGAGTGACGGTTCCGACTTCGGGCCAGGTGCCGCGGCGTCTGAGCGGGCGCGCCGGGCACCCCTAGGTGGACCAGATGCCGCCTAGGCCACGGGGACTCTCCAGGGTCGGCCGAGGAGCCGAGAAGGGGCCGCGAGGGGTGAGGACCCCCGTCCTGAGAATTCGTCTCGGCGCTCCTGTGCATTCGACACGCGGGGTCGGGGGCTCCGGGGACAGCCCCCCGCGCCGCGCCCGTCCTGCCCCGCAGCGACGCCCCCCAGCCCGGCCCGGGAGCCGGGAACAATGCGGCGGCGCCCACCCGAGCGCACCCCGCGCCCGTGCCAGCCTCCCCCCCGGCGTCCAGGCTCCGAGAGTTCGTTTGCGCACTGCCAGTTGGTCCACGCGGAGAATGGAGCCCCCGTCCACAGCCCCTCGCTGCCCCTGGAGCGGGGCTCCCCGTTAAAGGCGCTCCGAAGCATTGGGGGACCCTGGAAGAGGCTTCAGTCGGGTCTGGGGGCCCGCCCTGCTCTTGCGGGGCGCGCCCGGATTCCCGGGAAGGGGCTTGGCAGAGCTCAGAGGCCCTCAGGTCTGGAGGGCCCGGAGGAGATGGCATCGGGCCGCCCCTTCGTTTTTCTTTTTCCTTTCTGTTTTTTGTGCCACACTGGTGGTGCGCTGGCCGAACTCCTGGCTCAGTGCTCGGGGGTCTCTGCTGGCCGGGCTCCAGGGCCCCTGCGGGTTCCCGGGAGGAGAGCCCGGGTGGGCGGCGTGCAGGGCCAGCGCTGCCCTCCGTCTCTCGGCTCCATCCCCCGTGACTGTTATTTTCCCGGGCGTTCTGCGCGGTATTGTCTCTGGAGACATGAAAACACAACCGTCAGGCACAACCCAGGCTCCGTGTCCTTCGAATTCTGCGTCCCAAACGGGACGCGGCCCCGGCGCCTGCGGGGAGGCGGCGCGGAGCGGGACGCAGCGCCCGGTCCTCCGCGCCCAGGTGGCCAGCGGCCTCCCGCCACCGCCCCCTGCGCGGCTTTAGTATTTTCACATCGATCCTAAAATCGTAACAGCGAGCGCGAGCCCGAGCGCGCCCCGGGCCCCGGCCCCGGCCCGGGAGCGCGGGCTGCGGAGAGGGGCCGCGCGGCGGGGTTCCTGGGGCGTATTTTTCACCTTGCTCTTTCACGAGGTGTTTTTATTAAAAACCAAAGATGAACAGAAGAAGGAAAAGAAAGAAAAGAGCGTCCTGGCCACCCAGCGCAGACCCAAAGCGCCGCAGACCGTGGGATGAGCCCGCGTGGGCCGTGCGCGCGCGGCGAGTCCCCGCGCCCTGCCCGGGAGTCTGGCCGCCGCCCGGGCCAGAGTTTGCCCAGGTTGTTGGAACAGCGTCCGCGCACCTGGCCGCATCGCAGCCTCGCCGCGGGCCGGAGGGCGCGCCTGCCCTTCCGGGCGCGCCGGGCAGCCGGGAGCGGGTCTGGCCCCGCCGGCCCCGGGACGGGAGGGCGAGCGGCGGCGGGGCGGGGGCGGCGGGTCTCCGGCCCAGGTGCGCGTTTGGGCACCTGGAGGCGGCGCGGCAGCCCCTGGGTGCGGGCGCCACCGTGAGGCCGGCCGGGGAACTACCTCCCGCGGAGGCGGGCGGCCCGGCCGTCCCGTGGCAGTGGAGGTGCTGCCACCCCGTGGCGGCGCTCGGCCTTGCAGGGCGCAAGTCCGTTCCGCACGCGCGCCTGCACACCCACGCACGTCCCCGCGCGTTTCGCGACGTGTCGAGAATAAACCTGTGGGCGCACCGAAATGTCTTTGAAACTGAGCAGGGAGCAAGGACTCGTCTCTTGGAAATTCCCTGGGTTCCTTTGAGCAATCGGGGCGCTGGACGTCTGTGCATTTCTGGTTTCCAGGGCGCGTGGATCCACCTGCCCGCCCACGCTCCCTGATTCCCGAGCCTCGCACCCAGAGCAGCAGAGCGGCCCCAGATGAGCAGACGGACAGACTCCACTTGGCCCCTCCACTTGATCTGCACACTCCATACTCCGCTTGGTCTGCTTCTCAGACGTGCTCTTCTGGGCCCCCCAGGGATGTGGGGGTCTAGGGAAGGGAGAAAGAAAACGGCACCCCAGTCCCCACATGCCCCCAGAGCTGAGGCCCCTCGGCTGCCACCGTGGAAGCTGCTCCTTGCACGACCCTCGATGTCTGGCCTGGTCCTCAAAATCATCTTCGTGGCACATGGGTGTCACTGCCACAGAGTTCCTGTCCACCCACTAGGCACAGCACACTCCCGCCCCCGCCCCGGGCAGAAAGAAATGGCCGTACCGGGAGAGTTCAGGGGCAGGGGTGCTCGGATAAGGGGTGGCAGATCGGGCCGGCACTGCCCGCTCGCGGGAGGAAACCGCACAAGGGCACAGAGATGTGTCTCAGGTGGACAAGAGCAGTCACCTCGCGTGGTCAGTTGACAGCTTGCCCTTCCAGACCTCCAGGGTTCAGACATGTGAGGGGCACTGAGAGGGGCAGCACGGGTCAGATGAGGCCTGGCTGGCTCGACTCGGGTGCTCACTCGCCTCCTGCCAGCCTGAGCTTTGCCAGATGCGAGAACGTGGCCTCGTAACTCTGAACAACTCCAGAGGCGCGAGCGAGTGTGTCCGCACCGAGGGAGCTGCACTGTGTGGGGGCCAGGCCTGGCCTTGTGCCGGGATCTGGAAACAGCACCCACTCCGTGGGGGTGCAGCACCCACCAGCACAGAGGGGAAAGGTGTCACCTACGCCTGCCCAACGTCAGCGGGGCCAGCCACGGGAGCCAGCCACGGTCCAGCTATGGGGTCAGCCGTGGGACCAGTCACAGGAACCGGCCTTAGGAGCCATCCACAGCACCCTTTGTGGGAACCGGCCACAAACCAAGCAGGGGAGCCGGCCCAGGGCAGACCCAGCGTGTCCCAGAATGCTGGGGGTGTTTGTGTCATGTGGGCTGGACCATTCGCCACGGGACACGGTCTTGGACACGTTTGTGTGGTCAGGACCCTGAGCAGGGCAGATTCGGATCCCTTGCTGGCAGGAATGCCCCGAAGCCACGCGCACCTGCGCCTTCTCCCTAGCGTGGGGGACCTCCGCTCTGCCACTGAGGCCACAAGCACGCCCACGGCGCCCCCTTGGGACCAGGGGCTGTGGTCTCAGTGACTCTCTCTGCGTGGGTGCTGGGACGTGCACACTGCCGGGCTGCAGGGGCCCTCTGGCGTTCAGAAGGAGCCCACGTTTCCCGGGCAGGGTCTGTGGGGCGTCCTGGTGGCCAAACCCGAGTCTCCTGTCGCAGCTCCCATTCGGCCCAGGCAGCATTTTGGTTTGTTTTTTATTTTTAGCATAAGAGTGCTGCCATTGATTCAGCCACTGGTTAGCTGATTGAATTGGGCATGAACTCCACCTTACTTTTTTTTCATTTTTTATAATGTTATTTATTGAATCACCGTGAGAGCGATTACAAAGCTTTCGGGTCTAAGTCTCGGTCATACAATGAAACACCCGTCCCTTCACCGGTGCCCATTCTCCACACCCAGCAACCCCAGTATACCCCGATCTCACATCCTCCCCCGACCTGTGGGGCAGATGATTTCCACATTACTCTCTCTCTACTTTGGTCACATTCAATACTTCGACACCAGACCCACCATTATTATTTGGGATTTTACCCCAACACTCAGATCTGCCGAAAAGGCAACAGTAGACAATTTGTTTTCTATTGCTGGTTATGTCACATATGATGTGACAATGGCTGCAGTAGTGGCCGCGTGATTTTGAGATTCCAAAATATTCACACTTAAATCTGGAGGGATTTCTGCCAAAACCTGCTGGGTTCCGAGATTTGCTCCTGAGTCTCTTGGATCATGGCCGTTAAGCAGCTTGATCAGGAGCCAGAGAGGCTGTTCGTGGGCGATGACTTGGGATCTCGTTGGGGTGGGGAGGACAGGACCGGCTCCACCCCCATCCGTGAGGCCCCAAACCTGACTGTCCAGTGGCCTCTAGAGGATGGTGACCACCGGGCCGCCAGGGGGAACAGGCCAAGGCACAAAACCTATTCTCACCTGGGGTGGCCCAGCGCCGGTAACCTACTGCAGGGACTGGACGCATTTCTGCCAAAAGCTGCTGGGTTTCGAGATTTGTTTCTGAGTCTCTGGGATCATGGCCGTTAAGCAGTTCGATCAGGAACCAGAGAGGCCAGGCCTCCAATTATATAGCCGAGCCGGAGATGGTTTGTGGGTATGTCTCCCATATACCTAACTATTGGCTGTTTACTTTCTTGGCAAACTTTGCCCCAAGTCTTTGGGGCCTGCCCAAAGGCACAGCAGCAATTTTGGGGTATCTGGAAGTCTGAAGGCGCCATCAGGCTGCTGATGCACTCGCCTCACAGGTACAGACTGACCTTCTGGCAGCACCATACCCCCTCAGGTAGCACTTTAAAGGGAAACTGAGGTCTGGAATCGAAGCCACTAACCCAAGTGACAGGTGGGAGCTGTGCCCTGGGGAAGGGGGTAGGCTCCTGGGAGTGCATGAGTCCCAAAACACCCCACGGTGCAGGGGCCCACGTGGAGCCCTGAGGGCCAACTGTGGGAACCAGCCCCCTCCCTGGGGCCAGTTTGGGGGATGCTGGGCTGAGTCTGTTCAGCTGGGTCTGCAGGGGTGGGGGTATCCACGGACCCAGAATGGAACTGCACTGAGCCCTGGGTCCGGGCGCCGGGAAGCTTCGCCTCATGCTTCCTTGTGCTGGTGGGGAAGAGGCGAAGGCGCCTTTGTGGGGGCTGCTAGGGGCTGTTACTCAGCACCCCTGGGTGGTGCCCGTGATGGTGTTCCCTGGAGGCCCCAAGGGGGTCTGGGCACAGGGACCTCTGCAGACACCCCAGATCCATTGTCTGCAGCCTACCGCCAACCCCAAGGTCACCCCTAACCGCCCTGAGCCTCTTCACTTGGGCTCCAGGGACTTCCCCGGGGACTAACCTGGGCTGGGGGGGGGGGGCTGAGCTGGGCTGGGGGCGGGGCCAGGCTGGGCTGGGGGCGGAGCTGCAGACAGGGCTCCAGGTGGCCCAGACTGAGTCCTTAGTCCAGCCCAGAATTCAAGACAATTGTGCTGGGCCTGGAGCTGGACCTCCCAAGAGCCACCTAAGGGAGCCCACCATCCCAGCACTGGGCGCTGAGGTCTGCAGATGGGGAGGGGGGGACCCTTCTCAGGGAAGGAGCTCGGAGGCTGAGGTGTGAGGCGTCACCCCACCGCGGTGACTCGGTGCGCCAGGCACAGCGCGCTGAGACCCACTGTGGGCATGAGAGCGAGGGAGGGAGCACTCGGGCATGAGAAAGGGAGCGCTCTGGGGCATGGGAGAGAGCACTGTGTAGTGAGTCAGTGGAGAGGATTTGGGTGCAGGCAATCAAGCTGGCAGAGTTTGGGCTGAAGCTCTACAGCGTGGCCCCTTGAGCCTGTCCACACCCTCCCAGGGGGTCTCTGCTGCTGCTGGTTCCAGCCAGAAAACCCACGTGAAGGGCCCTTCTTCCCGGGAGCTGCCCCGAGGGTGCCAGTCCAGTGTCCTGTCCTACTTGACCAGTGTCCGCTCCCAGAAGGAAGCAGCTGTCCTGGGGACCCACGGTGCGCGCATGTGTGTGTGCGTTCGTGTGGTGTGCGGAGGGGACCCATCTGCAGGCGCTGGGCTCTGTTCTCCAGGACAGGAGGTCCGCGTTGCTCGGGGCCGTCACGGCTGTTTCCCACTGGCCAGGGCTCTGGCTCTGGAGGGGCTCCCAGACCAGCCGCTGTGGCTTTTCTGGCTTCGTCCTTTTGGGGGGGCGATGTGGAGCCCTTTGGGGACCCACAAACTTCAAAGCATTGTCTCCTTTTCTGTGATGTCCTTAGAGCTCGGGTGGGAACTGTGTTGAATCTAGACAGTGCGGGACAGCTAGTCCCAGGGCCCAGGCCCCCAAGGTCTTGCCAAAGAGCTGGACTCTACGGCGCGCCCCGCCCCAGGGTCCCGCCCACGTCCTTGGCTCCGCCCACCCACCCCCCTCCCACGCTCCATGCCCCAACCCGTAATAGGCACCTGGCTCCTCGGCCCCGTCCCGCCCACCTCCACGGCCCCGCCCACAGCTCGCCCCTCCCCCGCCGCAGCCGCGCTCCTGGCCACGCCCACGCGCCCGCCCCGCCTCGACCCCAGGCTCCCTGCCACGCTCACACGCCTGCCCCCGCCTTTTCCAGGCTCCCGCCCCCGCCAGGCTCCGGCTCCGCCTTTTCCAGGCTCCCGGCCCCGCCCACGCGCCCGCCCCGCCCTCGCCAGGCTCCGGGCCCGCCCACACCAGGCTCTGGCTCCGCCCCCACTCCCGCCCCGCCCTCGCCAGGCTTCGGCTCCGGCCTCGCCTTTTCCAAGCTCCCGGCCCCGCCCACGCGCCCGCCTCGCCAGGCTCTGGCCCCGCCCACACCAGACTTCGGCCCCGCCTTTTCAGGCTTCGGCCCCCGCCAGGCTCCGGCTCCGCCTCTTCCAGGCTCCCGCCCTCGCCAGGCTCCGGCCCCGCCCACACCTGGCTCTGGCTCCGCCCCCACTCCCGCCCCGCCCTCGCCAGGCTTCGGCTCCGGCCTCGCCTTTTCCAAGCTCCCGGCCCCACCCACGCGCCCGCCTCGCCCTCGCCGGGCTCTGGCCCCGCCCACACCAGGCTCCGGCCCCGCCTTTTCAGGCTTCCGCCCCTCCAGGCTCCGGCCTCGCCTTTTCCCGTCTCCTGGCCCCGCCCACGCGCCCGCCCCGCCCTCGCCAGGCTCCGGTCCCGCCCCCACCAGACTCTGGCTCCGCCCACACGCCCCGACCCCGCCAGCGCGCAGGCGCGGGGGCGCGGCGGTGACGTCATGCGCGCGCCGGGCGGTCCGGTCGCCATGGAGCTGGCGGCGGGTGAGCGGCGCGGGGGGCGGGGGTTCGGGGCCGCCCGGGAGGGGTCCCCGCGGGCGGCCGGGCCTGCGCGCTCGCCGTCGCCGTCTGGGCCGGCTCTTGGGCAGCGCCCTGGACGCGCCCCGAGCCGGTGCCGCGTGGCCCGGGGCTGCGGGCGGCTGGGAGCGACCTGGACCCGCGTCGCGACGGGCGGGAGCAGCGCCTGCAGGTGCCGTCCGGGAGCCCCGGAGCAGAGTCCCGGGAGCCTTCCCGGAGGCGGTGCCGCGGCTGTGCGGGCTGGAAGGCAGGAGCTGCAGGGCGGAGGCCCGCGGAGGGGACCCGGGGCCGGGGAGGCTGGAGATGCGGGGGCGCTGCACGCCCTCTGCAGCGCTCTCCCCCCTCCTGCAGCGGGGCGGGCGTCGCTGGCGTCCAGGGCCCGGTGCGGCAGCCCGGGAGGGTCTTCTGTGGGTCGGGCCCAGAGCCCTTGAGGGCTGAGCTGCGGAACCTGCGCGTCAGCCGTCGCCGCACGGAGGAGCTAGAGACGCGCGCGTGCCGGAGGACGAGGCGCACAGAGCGGCGCACGCTGTCGGGACACAGGCACAGGGGCTGAACTTGCATTGGGGCCTCACTTCCTAGGGGAATGAATCGGTCTCGCCGTCCCATGGGCTGGCCAGCTGCCCCCCCCCCCACGCCCTGCCCCCGGCGAGGCTCTGCCTTCACTGGGAGATGCAGGACGCGCGAGTCGCCGCGCAGAGCAGCATGGGAAGGAAACGGCCTGGACACAGCTGGTCCCTAGAAGGAGCGTGGCCCTGCGGCCCGGGCGGCACCTCTTCCTTCCAGATCCCTTTCCACGTTTGCGAATTCCAGTCGCCGGAAGGAGCCTGAGGGTGCAGGTGGGCCTCGGGAGGCCCAAAGCGTGTCCTGAGTGTCATGGGGAGAAGGCGCACCTGGGGCACCCGTGGAGAGTCAACTCCTGAGGCCGCTGCTGGGGCCCCGGGATGGTTCCTCGGAGGGCCTGGGGTGCATGTGAGGGTGCTGTCACCATGCCAGTGTGGGCCGAGGACACGGGTGCAGGAGCCCTGTGGGGGCACCTGAGCGGGTGTGGGCCAGCAGGGCGGTGCAGTGAATCTGGACACAGTTTCCACGTGTTCACTGGAAGTTGCTTTTCATGTTTCTCCACTGAGAGGCACAGGCTGTTGTGACACCAGGTGAGGGCGAGGGCTGACGGGAGTGTCACCGGGCGAGGGCTCAGGCTGATGGGCACGTGTCTGGGCTCTGCTGACGGGCTGATGAGTGTGGAGACGCTGGTCCCCACGCAGGTGACTGGTCGCAGTCTCCCTGGGCTGTCGCGCTCTCCCCGCTGTGCTCCCTGCTCTACATCCCGCCCGGCCGCCCTCACTGGGCTCGGGGTGGTTGCATGTACTGGACTGAGTGGGCTCCAGGAGCAATCTGGGGGTGTCTCCCGCCAGACCTGGCAGCCCCCTGACCCTGTCTCACTGTTCCCTGGTCCCACGGTGGGTGGGGCTCAGAGACACTCTGGGGGTGGATGTGACAGTGGGCTGGGACTCGGACAGCTGCTCTGAGGGGCCGCCCAGCCCTGTGGGTCCCGCTGGCCCTCGCCCCACGGCTCACCACCTGCCCCGTCCCCCAGGGGTCTCCAAGCAGGCCATTCGCCAGCAGGTCTGGGACTTCATGGAAGCGCATGATCTGGCCGACTTTCCCCGCCCTGTGCATGGCCGGATCCCCAACTTTAAGGTACCGTGTGCCCCCAAGGGCCCAGGCTGTCTTCCAAGGGGCCGCACCCTGGGGTGCATCTGCCTGCTGGACATAGCAGCAGGGAAGCCGGAGCCCCTGCAGGGTCAGATCCCCACCATGGGCTCCTGGGTGGTCACTTGTGACTCCCTGCAGAGGCCTTAAGAGCCGGTGAGAAGGCCCGCCCGCTCCTCTCTGGAAAGAAAGATGGTGGCCGCTCGGGAGCCTTGTGGACAGCAGGTTTGAGCCGGGCTCGGCGGGAGCGGCAGGGACCTCATGGGAAGGGGGCTTTGTGGGCCGTCCCCCACGCCCCACCGAGGTCGCCAGCTGCCCCACACGAGCGGCTCTCCGGCACGGCCACGACTCCAGGGCACAGAAACCAATCTCTTAACTATCTAACTTTTAATAGAAATTCTTCCAGGGTCAATAAGTAAAATAGCAGAAATTCAAAACCGCGCGGCCGCTATCGCGGCTGCGCGACATCTTTTTATTCTTAAACCAAGTTGTAGAAAGCAAATCATTTCACAACGCTGTTTCAGCATGTCTGATTGGGGGGGGTGGGTCGTAAACTCTAAACAATAATTGTGCATCTTCTATCGAAACAATGTATCTAGTCAAAGTAGATAGAGTATTAACTAGAACTCATCTGCCTCACAGGAATTGGGAGGGGTGGGAGGTGGGGTTCTATTGGGGTTCGCGGTTAAAAATAAGTATTGGTAAAGGGAAATGTGTTTGATATTTACATGACTGAGACCTAAACCCGAAAGCTCTGTAACTTTTCCCACAGTGATTCAATAAATAAATAAATTATAAAAAAAAAAAAAAAAGAGCCGGTGAGAAGGGGCCAGGTCCCGGCCAGAGCTGGGCGGAGTCAGTGGGCTGTGTTCTCTGACCCCCTGACGCTGCCCGTGTGTGTGTGTGTTCCCTGCTTCCTGCGGTGTGTGTGTGTGGACCCTGCTCCCTGAAGTGTTTGTGGGGTCTGCTCCCTACAGTGTGTGTGTGTGTGTGTGGACCCTGCTCCCTGCAATGTGTGTGTGTGCACACACACACGCGTGCGCGCATGCGCATGTGCATAGGCCCTGCTCCCTGCAGTGTGTGTGTCTCTGTGTGTGCGTGCGTGCATGCGTGCCCTGCTCCCTGCAGTGTGTGTGTGTGTGCATGTGTGGGCCCTGCTCCCTGCAGTGTGTGTGTCTGTGTGCGTGCGTGCATGCGTGCCCTGCTCCCTGCAGTGTGTGTGTGTGTATGTGGGCCCTGCTCCCTGCAGTGTATGTGTGTGTGTGTGTGTGTGTGTGTGTGTGCCCTGCTTCCTGGGTTGCTCCTGTGTCCCCTCCCGCGCTGTCCCCCGGCCCCCTCTCCCGCTCACGGCTGCTGGGCCCACACAGGGCGCTCCCGGGGCGGCCGAGCATCTCCTGCGCTGTGACGCCTTCCGGTCGGCCAGAACGGTCAAAGTGAACCCCGACGCGCCCCAGAGAGCCGCACGCTTCCTCGTCCTCGAGGTAAGTGGCGCCTGTCTCCGCTGACAGGGCTCGCACCAGGCTGCCCAGCACCTCAGAGGCCTGGACATCTTTGCCAGCGCGCAGGAAGTCAAAGTGGACCCTGACAAACCACTGGAAGGTGCCCGGCTGCTGGCGCTGCAGGTAACCGCCTCTGGGCTGGGCAGCCGCCTCATTTGTGGGGTGACTGGACCAGCGGTGCCACAGGCCAGACTCCGCCTGACCGCCCCCAGCGGCCCCCTCCAGCCGGGCTTCAGATTTCGTAAGCCCCTCCCCGCACTGGGTGTGCGAAGTCAGGGCTTGCTGCCCCAGCGGGACCGCCGCCCGAGTTGAGTGTTGTGAGTCAGATCCGAGGAACGTCCAGCGCAGCCGCGCGGGGCTGGAGCGACGGGACAGCTGGGAGGGCGCTGGCCCCTCGCATGTGGCCAGCTGGGGCTTGATCCCCGCGCCCGACAGTCCGCCGCGCCCACTGGGAGTAACCCCTGAGCACCGCTGAGGGGCCTCTAAGCAAAGCGGCAACGACGACAAAGGGCAGCTCAGCGACCGGCCCGGGCGGGTGGGTTCGCGCAGTGCCTGGCCACGGGGGTTCTCTGTGCCCCCTCCCCACCTCCACGGCGCTCTGGTTGTGGGAACCAGGTGCGTGGGCACTGGTTGCCCTACCTGGGCCAGCACCGAGGCAGGTCTCGGAGGGTCCTGTCCACGGCTGCGGGGTGGGGGGTCTGCACAGCCACCTGGCCCATGCGCCCAGGACAGCAGTTGCAGTGAAGGGGGTGGGGTTTGTCTGGGGGCGGGGCTAAGTGGGGCGTGGCCGTGAGTCTGGGCGGGGCCTCGGGGTGAGGGCGTGGCCAGGGTCCTGGGCGGGGCCTCGGTGTGGGCGGAGTCTCGGTGGGGCGGGGCCTCATTCCTGGCCTGGGTGGACCCCAGGGGCTGGGCCTCTGCCGGCGGAGGAACCCACAGCTCCACTGTGACCGGCTGTTGTTATTCTTTTTTTCCCCCGAAGAGCAAGAAGATGCTGCTGGTCCCCACGCCCCGCCTGAGGACAGGGCTGTTCAACAGGATCACGCCTCCCCCGGGGGCCACCAAGGCCGTGCTGAGGACATGCGCCACCTCCGAGGTAGGCCGGACAGGCGTTGCAGAAAGTTTCCAGAAAGTTCTGTCAGCACACGTGTGTGTGTGTGTGTGTGTGTGTGTGTGTGTGTGTGTGTGTGTCCAACGCGCGTGGGTGGCAGCGGGTCACAGCACCCCAGTTCCCCAGGTGGGGCCTCAGGGTGCTGGCGAGGGTGAGCAGCTGACCCCAGAGCACCGAGCCCCGGAGCAGGTCCAGGGCGGAGCTGACGGTGCCCAGGACCCCCTGGCCGGGCTGGGCCATGTGAGCCCCTCAGGGCCCGGGAACCAGCATCTCCTGATGCTGCAGGCGCTGGGACGGCCTCGGAGCAGACCCCGCCTGTCCCCAGGCCGCTGGCACAGACGAGGAGATGCGGCTCTGAGTCTGCAGCGGGCAGTGCCACCCCAGGGGTACGGGCCAGGGGTGGTACCCGCAGGTGGTGGGCTTTTGCTTCCCTAAACAGGCAGGGGCGGGGGCGGCAGTGATGCTGTTTCTGGGAAAGGGGCTGTGAGGTCAGTTGGGAGTCCGGCCCGCCGTGGGCACCGGGGGTGGAGAACACGCGTGTTGGTGACGGGCAACCTGGGCGAGCCCTGGCCACGCCCCTCCCGCCTCAGGCGTGTCTGCCTGCCGCCTCCCCACGTCCCCGTCCCGTCCCCGCCCAGGGCGTGCGGAGCTACAGTACCCCCGTGGGGCTGGATTCCAGGGTCCGGGTGGACCTGCTGATCGTGGGGTCCGTGGCGGTTTCGGAGAAAGGTAAGTTTCCAAGGAGAAGCTTCCAGGTCCCCTGTGACCCTGCGTGTCCCCGGGGCCGTACAGGGCCGATGGCCAGGGACAGCCTCGGGTGAGGCTCTGCACTGGCCTCCCGGGCCATCGTGAGGTGGCACTAGGCATTCCAGGGTGCGTCCCCGAGAGTGGGCACAGCCCTGGCCTTGCTGGGGGCCTCTCCCGCCTGGACCCCAGCTGCAGCCGCGTGCATCTGTCCGTCTCGGCTGCAGGGATGTGGGCGGTGCCTGCCCACAGCTGCCCCGCGTCCCTGCGCCCCCACTTGCTCTTGTAGGTTCGCTTGTGTGGCTCCCCTTGGGCCTGGGCCTAAGGGACTCTTCACCGGCCCCGCCCCATCCATAGGCCCCTCCTCTCCCGCCGCCCCGCCCCACCCGCAGGCCCCGCCTCTCCCGCCGCCACGCCCCATCCATAGGCCACGCCTCTCCCGCCGCCCCGCCCCATCCGCAGGCCCCGCCTCTCCCGCCACCCCGCCCCATCCATAGGCCACGCCTCTCCTGCCGCCCCGCCCCATCCGCAGGCCCCGCCTCTCCCACCACCCCGCCCCATCCATAGGCCCCGCCTCTCCGCCGCCCCGCCCCATCCGCAGGCCCCGCCTCTCCGCCACCCCGCCCCATCCGCAGGCCCCGCCTCTCCCACCACCCCGCCCCATCCATAGGCCACGCCTCTCCCGCCGCCCCACCCCATCCGCAGGCCCCGCCTCTCCCACCACCCCGCCCCATCCATAGGCCACGCCTCTCCCGCCGCCCCACCCCATCCGCAGGCCCCGCCTCTCCCGCCACCCCGCCCCATCCATAGGCCACTCCTCTCCCGCCGCCCCGCCCCATCCGCAGGCCCTGCCTCTCCCGCCACCCCGCCCCATCCATAGGCCACGCCTCTCCCGCCGCCCCGCCCCATCCGCAGGCCCCGCCTCTCCCGCCACCCCGCCCCATCCATAGGCTACGCCTCTCCCGCCGCCCCGCCCCATCCGCAGGCCCCGCCTCTCCCGCCGCCCCACCCCATCCGCAGGCCCCGCCTCTCCCGCCGCCCCGCCCCATCCATAGGCCACGCCTCTCCCGCCGCCCCACCCCATCCGCAGGCCCCGCCTCTCCCGCCACCCCGCCCCATCCATAGGCCACTCCTCTCCCGCCGCCCCGCCCCATCCACAGGCCCTGCCTCTCCCGCCACCCCGCCCCATCCATAGGCCACGCCTCTCCCGCCGCCCCGCCCCATCCGCAGGCCCCGCCTCTCCCGCCACCCCGCCCCATCCATAGGCCACGCCTCTCCCGCCGCCCCGCCCCATCCGCAGGCCCCGCCTCTCCTGCCACCCCACCCCTTCGCAGGCCCCGCCCCTCCTGTCGCCCCACCCCGCAGGCCCCGCCCCTCCCGCTGCCCCGCCCCTCCACAAGCCCCGCCCCTCCCGCCGCCCTGTCCCTCTGCAGGCCCCCCATCCCCTCTTCCAGGTCCCTCCTCCCCCTCCCTCTGTCCCTGCCCCCGTCCCAGCCTCTGCCCTCCACCCCCCTCCCTCTCCTCCCTCTCCCCCACTCCCAGGCTCAGAGCTGTGCCCGGCCCTACCCACCCGCGGGCGCCCGGCCGCAGCTCTCACCGCCCTTGTGTCCAGGCTGGAGGATCGGGAAGGGCGAGGGCTACGCTGACCTCGAGTACGCCATGATGGTGGCCATGGGCGCGGTCAGCCAGGAGACGCCGGTGCTCACCCTCGTGCACGACTGCCAGGTCTGCGGGGGCGTCGCGGGGGGGCCCCAGCCGCGTGCCCGGGTGCGGCCCTCACCGCCCTCGTGCGCGGCAGGTGCTGGACTTCCCGGAGGCGCTGCTGGAGGAGCACGACCTCACCGTGGACTTCATCCTCACGCCCACGCGCCTGCTGGCCACCGGCTGCGCGCGCCCCAAGCCCAGCGGCATCACGTGGGCCAAGGTGGGCCAGCGCCAGGGTGGGCATCCCCTCCGCCCTCGGGGGATGGGCGGGGCAGGAACCCGGGCAGGCCGGGATGCGGCCCCTGACACGGGGGCTGTCCCTGCAGATCCACGCGGACATGCTGGCCAGGATCCCGGTGCTGCGGACCCTGCGCGACCGGGAGCGCCGGGCCGGGAAGGACGTGACCCTCAGGGCCGAGCCCCCGCAGCCAGCAGGAGCAGGACGGGGCCGCGCCCACCGCCCGCGTGAGGGGCCTGAGCGTGCCCTCGGGGCGCCCACGACTGCGCCGGGCGCCAGCGTGCCCAGGATGAGCCTGACCAGGCGGGCAGCTCCTCCAGGGGGTCCAGCAAGGATGTGGGACGAGCGTGCCTGAGCGCCCCCGGCTGGTGTCGGCCTCTGGTTTGGGGGGTCTGAGGGGCCGTGGCAGGAGGCGGGTCACCGGTTCGGGTGTCTTGTTTGGTCCCGCGGGACAGCACAGATCAGAGCTCGACCCCCCTGTGGCTGCAATGAATGGACAGGCCCAGCCCGCGGCCACGGCAGGTGGGGGCACTCAGGCCTGGAAGGCTGCCCACACCCGGGCCACACTTGTGCCATCCCGGCCCTTGTGTGCTGTGGTTTCGTCCACTCGGCCCCTGGACAAGCTGGACCCTGGCGGACTGCCTGTGACGGACGGAGTGCCCCTGCGGCGGGGCCCAGCCAAAGTCGAGTAAAGGCGTGACCTGGTCCTGCCTGTGTGTGGGTGCATGTGTGCGTGGGTGCTGGAGGGCTCTTCCCGCAGTGCTCAGCTGGGGCTCTTCCCGCAGTGCTCAGTCTGGTCCCACAGCCTCATCGCTCTTTTTGGTCCTGCCCTGCTCCGAGAAAACAAATGCAGCCGCCGGGGAGCGAGAGGCTTGTGAAAGAGAAACGTGTGATGTCCGTGCGGGGTGGGGTGGGTGGGGTGGATGGAGGAGGAGTTCCCGGAGACCCTCAGCTGAGCCTGGCCCAGCAGCCGGGCCTGGAGAAGCCCAGGCCAGCTCCGGACACAGTGCTCCCCGCGGGGCCCCAGAGGTCGCCTGAAGGCTCACAGGGACGAGAGGTGGCCAGGCACCTTGGTCAGGTGGGCAGGAGAGACGGGAGGGACGCGCTCTGCCCGCACCCCGGGCACCCTGGCCCTGAGCAGCCTCGGGGCTGCCCGGCGCTGGGCACTCACCTGTGACATGTTTGCCAGCTGTAAGGCCAGTGCCGGCCCTTTCCCCAGCCTGGGCCGCTGAGGGCCAGCTGACCCGCGCCCGGCCCTGACTGCATGCGGCCAGCAGGTGGCGCTGCCGCCTCACAGAACCAGACTGAGGACAGCGGTGGGCGGGCAGGCCGGGCCTCAGCTCCCCACTCCGGGACCCTGACGGCAGCCCCTGGCCCCCTGGCCAGGTCCCAGGGCCTCCTCTCTGCCTTGTGGGAAAGGCCGGCCAGGCTGGGCCCACCCGCACCCGGGGCTTCCCCTGCCAGTGCAGGGTGCCTGCGGACTGTGCACCCCAGCTCTGCCGGTGCCCAGCCTGGGACTGTCCCTGGGGCAGGTGCCGCAGGCTGGCCCAGTTCTCGCCCCCAGTGGCTCCCGCAGACGTACCCGCCACCGAGGTGCCCGTCACTTGGTCCTGGACACTTGGACACCATGTGCTTCACGGCCAGGGACCTCCCGAGACTGCAGGCCCAGCCCAGGGCGCCCCACGGCTTCCTGCCCCCTCTGGCCCTCTGTGCCCGCCCGGCTGCGTGAAGGGGGTGCCAGGAAGTGGAGCGAGCGTGTGGGGGGTGTGCGGCCGCGGCCGTTGCCTGCAGGGGGAGGCCCTGCCACCCTACAGCTGGCGCTGCTGGGGCTGACTCCTGGCTCTGCACCTAGGGTCACTCCTGGACGCTCGGGGCGCCGTGTCGGTGCCAGGGATGGCGCCGGGTGTCGCGGATGCTGGCGCTTGGGGTGACCACGTGGTGCTGAGGGCCCGAGCGGCGTCATCCCTGTCTCCGCTGCCTTCAGCTGCTGTCCGCTGAATTCAGTCCCAGCTTGGAGTTCAACCCCTGCCCATCCGGTGGCCGCAGGCCTCGGTACTCTGCAGTGCTGCTTTCGGCCACAAGGGGGCGGCAAAGGCCGCAGGTGCGCCGAGCCCAAAGGCCCGCAGCACCAGGTGGGAACTGGGGGCTCGCGGATGCGCCCCCACTCACAGCCGGGGCACCACCGGTGTTGGTGACGAGGAAGGGGGTCCTGAGACTTCCTTGGGGAGCTCCCGGCCTGAGTCCAGGCCCAGCCACGCTGAGTGGAGCGTCTGCCCTGGGGGAGGACCGGGGCCCTGGAGCAGGGAGCCCGGCGCCGCCCTCTCCAGGGGCCAGGCAGGGCAGGGCAGGCGTGCAGGGCACTGGGCTGGGCGGCACTTCGTCGTCGGTCACAGGGGAGGGAGCCCAGCGGCCTGGATCCGGGTGGGTGCTCCGCCTGGGGGCGGGCAGGGAGCCAGGCCTTGGCGGGGCCACCTCGGTCCCAGCACTCCTGTTCCCAAGGAAAAGAAAACAGCGGGGCATTGGCGTCTCCCCGGCACGCACCCGGGCGCCTTCCAGCCGGCCTGTGTCCTGAGAGCGAGACTGACCACGAGGTCCCAGTGGCCGGCCCAGCCGGGCTCCAAGGCTGCGGGTCCGCACGGCCACCGCAGACAGATCCAAGAGGCCGTACCACCCCCAGAGGGGGCTTCACTCGGGAACGTTCGGGCACCCCAGGGCCCATCCCCAGCATTTCCCTAGACACCTGGCTAACTCCATCCCCGTGCTCGAATCGTGCTGGAGATGACAGGCTCCACCCTGAGTCCAGGCTGCAGTGACCAGGGAGCCCTCAGGGCAGTGGCGTGAGATGGGCCGTGGGCACTGAGGCAGTATTCCCTGCGGATGCGCCAGTCCAGTGCGAGCGCCTGGACACTGCCCAGGCAGCCGGGGCAGGCGGGGACAGGGACCCGCCACGCTGCAGCCCTGCCCTGGGGTGGGCACGCTGGGAGACCCCTCTGGGACGGGTCAGGAAGCGGGTCACCGCCAGCCCAACTCAGCCCAGTGGCGCCAGCGCCACACGCAGCCCAGCCGGGGTGCATGGGGGGCCGTGCTGCGCCAGGGGCCCCCGCAGCGGGCGGAGCCGCGGGCTGGCTTGGGTTTCTCCTAATCAGCCCCACGCCGGCCCGCCGGCCGGAGCCGCAGTCCTAATTGGGGCAGTTTTGGCCGCGGAGGGAGGAGGGCCCGTGCCGAGGCCCCTGGCGGCCGCCGAGAACCTGCGCCCAGTGAGGGACGGGGGGACAGTGGGTCGCACCCGGCGCCGCGGCAGTCCGAGACCCCAGGGACAGAGACGCCGGCCTTTTCCGGCCCCTTTATCTCGGTTTTATAGACAGCTGTTAGCTGGGACATTAATTGCCCGGGCGAGTTTATTGATAATTGGGATGTAACAGAGCGCCAGAGAAATTACCCTCCCGTCCGAAATGTCAACTTTGAGAAGAAGCAGTTTCGGAGACTCGGGCCCCTACAACGTGGAGAAACCGTGGGGGGTCTCCGGGCGGGGACCCCAGGCGACCTCCCCACTGTGCTGGTCTGGGACGAGAGGGGAGGCCGCCCTCTCTGCGGTCCAGCTGGGGCTCTGGGGGCCGACACCCCACCGAGGCCGAGGCCATGGGGCTGTGGGAAGCGGGTGCCAGGCGGGCGCAGCCGCCGAGCGAGCGCGGGTTCCTCAGGGCGCTGGCGACTGAATGACGAATGGCGGGGAGTGGAGCGGGGACTGCGAGGAGCCTCTCTGGTCTTCCTGGGTGGGGGAGCACGACACCCAGTCTCTCTCTAACATCGAATGAGGGAGGACCCAGGGTCGCACAGACTCTCCCGGAAAACCAGCCAGGAGGAGCCCCGCAGACTTCATTTCAATATGAAACGAAGGGCGAAAAGGCCGGCAGCGAAAGAAAAGGTGCAAAAAGGAAAGGAAAAGGGGTCTGCGGAATTTCCCGCATCTTCCATGACAAACAAGATCTAGAAATCCGTGAGGGGCGGAAGGCGGGCAGCACCGATTCCAGTATGAGACTCGTGCGCTTTATTTCTCATGAATACAAGGGTGAGGCCACGTACAAATGTTACACATTTTTTATTTTTGTTCTTTTTTATAGGAAAAATACACAAAAGGCAAAACATCCTCAAGTTGTCCATTCATACAGTGCTGAAGGAAATTCGAAATCTGTGTCGCAAGCGCTGCGTCCCAGCAGCCCAAAGACTAAAAAAGGGGGGTGGTCCTTCATTTATATATATATTTATATAAAACATATGGGGATTTGTTTTTACAGAGATTGGACTTCGTTGAAATTTACAATGGAGAGCTAAAAAAAATCTACGCGGCAAATATTGCCAACAAAGTTATACCTTTAATACTGATAACCGGAGACCGTGTGTGTGGACTATGAGGGACAGAGCAGAATAAATAACCGCATGAACCTCGCTCGAGCTTCAAAAGTGCCTTCAGCTTTCTGATCGTCGCCATCCTGAGCTCGGGCCACCCGCGGGTGCTGTGCTCGCCTCCTCGACCAGAAAGTTTACAGTAGAGATCCGGAGACAGCTGGGGCCCGGGAGAGAATCCCCACCGCGACGGCCCCAATCAAATTCAAAACGAAACAAACGGGGGACGGGGACGGGACTGGACGGAGAGGCTGGAGGTGGAGGCCCGAGGCTGAGCACGGAGAGGGCCCACCTGCTGGGGGAGGAAGCCCCCACACCTGCCAAGTGACCCCAGGGACACTTGCTTATGCCGAGACATTCTTTCCGAAAAGAGTTAAAAATGAAAAGATAAATACTCCGCCAGAAAATGGAGGAAGGACTGGACGGACACTGAGGGTGGCGCGTGCGTGCTTTGCTTCGGGGGCTTCTCCCGGCGGCGCCCGACCGGCCGTGCGGGAAGGACAGTGACAGCGTCCCGTCCCCGCACACCTCCTGTCCTGGGGCAGCACCTTCACAGCTGGACTCCGGGGGCCAGAAGCTGTCCTGAGCCCCCCACCCGCCGGCCTGTCCTTCAGTAACTGCCCGGTGCGGGAGGTGGGAGCTGGGGGCCACCACGCGGGGAAGCCGGCACGATTGTCCCGTCCCCTGGACGTCGGTGACATTATACCTCAAGATAAAGGCGTGTCTGCGCGGGCTGGGGCGCCTGGCCGCGGCCTCACATCACGCAGGGCTTGATGTCCTGGTAGGTGACCTGCTGGTGGTAGTAGGAGCCGCCGCCGGCAGAGTGCATGGACGAGGACGCCATGGTGTTGAAGGAGAACACGAACTCCTTGCGGTCACACATGCTGGGCGACTGGGCGTGGTAGCGCGGGAGGCCTGCAAGCAGAGGGCAGCGGCGGCCAGTGAGCCGCG